TGGTGGTGAAGAAAGTCTTTTCTTCACTGGCTGTGGTGTTGTGTGCCTCATTGAGGCCATGTAAGTATAAGCTAAGGAAGACAGGTCATGAGGAAACAAATTTTTTTCTGACTAACTTCAGGGGAAAGATGCAGATCAGAATGACATCCTTGGATTTGAAATTGGTATCTTGACATCAGTGGAATAACATTACCACCTAAACTACCCCCTATTCTTCCAGTGTCCCTGTCCTATCTAAATGTGGACCTGGAGAGTAGTGGGCTTTATGAAAGGTCATTTATGTATTAATACCAATGGCATGTACCTTTGAGTGTATTAGAGCTAAATGTATCCCAAAGATATATTACTGTAAATACAATGAAGAAAAATTAGCCATCTATGCATGATATGTTCTTTGTTCAGAGAAAATGTAAATCTATTTTATGACACAAATTCATCATCCCAAGGGACCATATCAGATTGTAGTACACCATGACCTTATCTTTTTGCCACCCATCTCTCTCCAAGAAGACAACATTGACAGTTTGCCCAAGTCATTTTCCCCCATAATGATATTTTACTGTTTTCAATGACATGTAGAGATAGTTTTCAGCATTCACTTTTATAAGATTTTGAGTTCCAAATTTTTTCTCCCTCTCTCCCTCCCCACCTCCTTCTCCAAGCCAGTAAGCAATCTGATATAGGTTATACATGTACAGTCATGTTAAACATATTTCCATGTTAGTCATGTTGTGAAAGAAGAATTAGAACAAAAAGGGAAACACACGAGAAAGAAAATCAAAATAGCATATTTTGATCTGCATTCAGACTCTAGATATTCTTTCTCTGGATATAGATAGCATTTTCCATTATAAGTCTTTTGGAATTATCTTAGATTGTTGTATTTCTGAGAAGAGCTAAGTCTCTTCTCTAAGTATTCCATTATATACATACATACATACATACATACATACATACATACATACATACATACATATATTGGAAATTGAGGGATTGCCTATCAGTCGGGGAATAGCTGAACAGCAGCTGAATGCAATGGAATACTACTGTGCTATAAGAAATGATGAGCAGGCAGATTTCAGAAAAACCTGGAAAGACTTGTATGGACTGATGCTGAGTGAAGTGAGCAGAACCAGGAGAATGTTGTACACAGTAATAGCCATATTGTGCAATGACCAGCTTTGATAGACTTAGCTCTTCTCAGCAATACAAAGATCTGAGACAACTCCAAAAGACCCACGATGGAAAAATACTATTCACATCCAGAGAAAGAACTATGGAGTTTGAATGCAGATCAAAGCATACTATTTGCTCTTTTTCTTCTGTTTTGTTTCTTCTTTCTTGTGGTTCCTCCTATTGGTTGTAATTCTTCTTTACAACATAAGTAATGTGAAAATATGTTTAATAGGAATGTATACACACACACACATATATATATATATATGAATGTGTATATCAGATTGCATGCTGTCTTGGGGAGGAAGGAAGGAAGAAAGAGGGGTAAAATTAGAACTCAAAATCTTATAAAAGTGTATGTTGAAAACTAAAAATAAAGAAAAAAATATATACCATGTCCCAAAAGTTTTAGTGCAGTTTAAAGGTGTAATAAATATCAAAGATAATATCTGTTAAATTGCTGTGTTCAGTTCACCAAAAACTCTAGTTTTCTTCTTACAAGGCATTCCTTTCCAAAGTGAAGAGGGGAGAAGGGATGACAGTTTGTTTTCTTCCAGTGAAGATTCAGAAAAGGATGAAAAGGAAGATGACTATGATAGGGAAAGGCTTTATATTTATAGAAAACCCTCATAAGTAGTTACATGTTTATTTTTATTTAAAAAAAATCTTTCTAGAATTTATGATACAGCCTTAAAACGGTATGTAAAAATATGAAAGTATGGAGTTGTATAGTTAATAGCTTTTTGTAGATTTATTTTGTTGACTGCCTATAACTTTGCTGAAGCCATTATTATCTCAGTTTACTTTCTAATTCCTTAGGATTTTCTAAGGAAACCGTCATGCAATCAGCATATGGTGATGATTTTGTCTGCTCTTTGCCTATCTTTACGCCTTTACTTTCTTTGTCTTATTGCTATTACTATAACTATAACAAATAACAGTGGGTAAAGGGAGCATCCTTTCTTTACTCTTCTGTTTTCAATGGGAAAGTGTTTAGTGTTTCCCCATTGCATATAATACTACCTTTTTGTTTTAGATACTTTTTACTGTATTAAAAATGATCCTTTTTTTGCTCATTCTTTGTAGAGTTTTTAGCATAAACGTTATCCTTTATCAAAGGCTTTCTCTGCGTCTTTTGCTATTAATGCGGTTTTAGATTCCCCCCCCTTATATGATTAATCATGATAATGGTTTCCTTAATGTTTAACTTCTTTGCATTCTTAGCACAAATCCAACTTGATCATACCAAATCATTGCTTTTTTAAAAAATAAATTGCTGTTATCTCTTTGCCAGAATTTTACTTTAAATTTTGTAATCTATTCGGTAATGATATTATTGGTCTATAGTTCTCTTTCTCTGCTTTATCCTTCCCTCATTTAGAAATTAAGAATATATTTGCCTTATAAAATGAGTCTAGTGGAACAATATTTTGTTTGTTTCCAATTCTTGGCCACCACACAAAGAGCTGCTATAAATATTTTTGTACACATGGGTCTTTTTCCCATTTTTATGATCTCTTTGGGTTACAGACCTAGAAGTGGTATTGCTGGATCAAAGAGTAGTTATAGCCCTTTGGGAATAGTTCCAAATTGCTCTCCAGAGTGATTGGGTCAGTTCACAATTCCACCAACAATGCATTAGTGTTCCACATTTCTCACATCTTCTCCAAAATCTATCATTTTCCTGTTTTGTCATGTTGGCCAATCTGATAGGTGTGCTGTGGTACCTCAGAGTCACTTTGATTTGCATTTCTCTAGTCAATAGTGATTTAGAGCATTTTTTCATATAACTATAGGCAGCTTTAATTTCTTCACCTGAAAACTGCCTGTTCATATCCTTTGACCATTTATCAATTGGGGAATGATGTGGTCTTGAATCTTACTCAAGAAAGATTGAGAAAAGACTATCAGATTCAGCAGATAAGAAATTGTGGAAAGAGCAATGTCCATTGAGTGATGGGGTCAGAAGCCAGATCTCAAAGGTCCAAGAAATGAATGAGAAGAAAAGAAGTAGGCAGTCAACATAGACAGTCCTTTTCCCAGAAATGTGACTGTGAATGATAGGAAAGATCTAGACCAAGATAGCTTCATCTTATGGTGAAGCTTATGGTTTTTAAAGATGGTAGAAACATCAACATGTTTGTAAGCAAAAGGGAATAAGCCTGTAGATGGAAAGAATCAGTTGAGGAGGAGTCAAAGGATCACCTTGCTACAGAGAGTGCCCAGCAGAGGGAACATGACATAATCACATCATCAAATCACATAAAAGTGATCTGGTCAGCTGTTAAATGATTTCTTTTAGCAGTATGTGAGTAGGAGCAGACAAGAGGGCTGGAGAAATTAATCCAAATTGGGGGTTGACAGTGTGGGTAACAAGAGGACAAGGGGCCAAGGGATTCAGGATTGAAAAACATTAAACAGTGTAACTTTAAACTGGTGCATTGTGAAGGGAGGACAGTGTAGTTAGGTCCGGAATTTGAGCCTATGACAGTAGCATGTGCTGGAATGACAGGCGGTCATGGTGAGCTAAGCCTCCAAGAGAAATGGAGTGATAGAAGATTATGGTCCACTAAGGAATTTCACACTTGTTAATAATGAAAGTGGAATGCTGGTGGATTGTCACCAGATTGGGAGTGCAACCATGCCACTGTGTGACTGAGATGTGGAGGGAGGGAATAGGGCATGGGAGCTGAAGAGATGGAAGAACTGAGAGGCCAGGGTGTCTAAGGGAATGTCAGCATGTATTGAAGCCAGAGACTATAAGGGCAGCCATTGGGACAGGGAGGAAGATTTTGAACTGGATGCTGAATTCCTTATGAAAGGAGAGAAAATGCCCCAGGAGTTCAGAAACAGCTGCCATCAGGTATTGTGTTGATCATAGCTTGATGTGGTGAGCATCAAAAAAGAGGTTACTGAGTGATGGTGGTGGAGGAAGAGTGTGGAAGTCATGGTGGGAAACAATGAATGTGCCAACTTCTGCAGGATTGGGGGTGGGAGCATGAGAAAAGGTGTAACCCAGGGGTGGGGAACCTGTGGCCTCGAAGTCACATGTGACCCTTTAGGTCTTTGAATCCAAACTTCTTTTTTTTTTTTCAATGGAAGGAAGGATTTTTATTTTTATTTTTTATTAATTTATTTTGATTTATCAACAACCACTTCCATAAGCTTTTGAGTTTTAAATTTTTCTCACCTTCCCTCCCCAAGATGGTGCGCAATCTGATATAGGCTATACATATATATTCCTATTAAACATATTTTCACATTAGTGATGTTGTAAGTAAGAATTAGAACCAATAGGAGGAACCATCAGAATGAAGAAACAAAACACAACAGAAGAAAAAATAGCAAATAGTATGCTTCAATCTGCATTCAAACTCCATAGTTCTTTCTTTGGATGTGGGTAGCATTTTCCATCATGAGCCCTTTGGAGATGTCTTATATCCTTGTATCACTGAGAAGGGTTAAGTCTATCAATATCAGTCATCACACAATGTGGCTGTTACTGTGTATAATGTTCTCCTGGTTCTGCTCACTTCACTCAGCATCAGACCATACAAGTCTTTCCAAGTTTTTCTGAAGTCTGCCTGCTCATGAATCCAAACTTCTTAGAACAAATCCTTTAATAAAAGGATTCTGTAAAACTTGGATTCAGTCAAAGCGCCACACTTGAAGACCTAGAGAGTCACATGTGACCTTGAAGCCGTAGGTTCTCTATCCATTGTGTAACCAATGCTGGAAAGCAGTGTCTCCTATTTTTTTTTGGGGGGGAGACAATGGAGTGAAGTGACTTGCCCAGCGCCACACAGTTAGTAAGTGTCAAGTACCTGAGGCCCGGTTTGAACTCAGGTGTTCCTGAATCCAAGGTCGGTGCTCTATCCATGAAAGCAGTGTCTTCTAAGGAAAGTCAGGCTTCCCTGAATGCCAGGAGATAGAAAGAGCATGAGAATCAGTCAATCAATCAAGAAACATTTATTCAGCACTTATTCTGTGTTAGGATCAATGCTCAGTGCTGGGGATATAAAGAAAGACCAGAGGCACTGCCCACTCAAAAGGCTCACAGTCTAATGAAGGGGAGACAGTTGTGCAAACAAGAAAGAGATGTGATAAACTGGAGACATTGACAGAGGGGAGGTGCTAGAATTTAGGGGGATCAGGAAGGATTCCTGGAGAAAGCAGGGTTTTAGCTGCTGAAGGAAGCAAGGAGGCAGAAATGAGGAAGGAGTATAATCCAGACATGAAGGACAGCCAGACAAAATGCCCAGAGTCAGGAAATGGAGTACCCTGTGTGAGGAACAGAGAAGAGGCTGTGAGATGAAGGGACGTTTGTTAATGATCAAATGGAGATTCCGGAACAACCCATCTAAAGGGTGGGAAGAGGAGATTGAGGTGTGCCAGGCTGAGAGAACAGGAAGTGGTAGCAGTGAGGAAGAGATGTGGATTTTGCTTGCCTAGCTTGTGATTCTGTCATGGGAATGGAAAAAGTGAGAGGTTGCAGGTTGCTAGGCATAGACAGTCTAGTACCTTTGGACGATGGTTCACACCTTCAAGAGCCCTGTGAACAACAGAAGGGCCATCATTCTCTTTCAAGTGTCAGGTCACAGGGCCTGGGTTGGGTCAAAGACTTTGAGGGCCTGATGGCCAAATGGCCAAGAGAGACAGCCTTTAATCTCTGTAGCTTTCTCACAGTTATTTAAGTCCCCACCTTGGGCCCAATTCCCATGACACTCTGCCAAACCAAGCCAAAGACACTACTGAAATTTTCTTTTCCAAATGTCCTAGCAGTTGAATAAAAATGCAGTTGATTTATTTTCACTTTAGAATGTAGTTTTAGCCTAAATTTTTCCTACTTATTCATCAAAAATAAATGTTAATGAATTGATTTTTTACATAAGATAAAATCAGAGGAAGTACTATATTTCTATCAATAACAAAAGTGTATTTCTGTCTGCAGCAGTTATGACTAGAGTTCCAGAAACTTCAATCAAGAATCCCCCTCAAAAAGGAGGAAATTTCAAACAAACTATGTTTCTACTACACATTTAATGACTGGCAAAAAGTGCCATCATCTCTGCAGACCAAACCCAGTGACCAGAGACAACAGTCTTTTATATCCCCAGAGTTGATGTAAAGGTGAAAACGATGTCCTTGTGCTGAGGAATGAGATGATAACTATGTTTCTCATCTGCCCTTCCACAACATGTGTCCATGCTAAAAGTGGCATTCATGCAGTCTGGTTTTCTCTCGTTAAGTAATCTCCACCCATCTCCAAGAAGTCTTATGATTTGTCATTTCTGCAGTTTCTACTGCTTGCTTTTTCCATAAGAAGTGAAATTTGGCAGGAAGTAGTTGATAACTTGTGATGGAGCAGACCACGCCCTCTTCCTGAGTCTCCCAGGTAACTCCCACTGCCCTGATTCACCTGTCTGGTGCTCTCCATAGCACTTGCACTCCTTGCTGTAACTGGCTATTACCACAACGCCTGGGTAGCTCCATCACTTGCCCCTTCCAGGTGCCCAACTCTTGGCAGTATTTCTCCTGTTCTTTCTCCTGACTTCACTGTTTCTTTCATAGGCACCATCCTTCATCCATCCCTTGCTTCATGTTATCTTTGACTTTGTCTTCTCTGTCCATACCCAGTCAGTTACCAAGCCATGCCTGCTCTGCCTCCCTGGTCTTCCTCATCTTCCTCCCTCCCTCCCTCCCTCCCTTCCTTCCTTCCCTCCTTCCTTCCTTCCTTCCTTCCTTCCTTCCTTCCTTCCTTCCTTCCTTCCTTCCTTCCTTCCTTCATTCCTTCCTGTCTCCACTTTAGCCACCCACCTAGATTAGTGAAGTAGAGTCCAGTCAAGTCTCTGGCTTCATTTCTCTCCCCTCCAGTTTCTCCTTCATACCACTGTGAGGCTTCTGGGAAGATGGGTGAACTCTTGGCTAGAAATCCTTTAGGAAAAACTGAAGATACACCCAAGGGTTGACTGTGTGTAGAGGAGGTTGCCCTCTAGGTCCTGCTTGAGTGGGAGGTCCCTCCCAATTCTGAGACATGGTTTTGACTCTGGTTTCTTATGTCCAGACGTCTCATTGACTAAGGCGCTAATGTGGGCCTAAGGAGTGGCAAGTGGGCACACGTTGGGGTAGGAAAAACCTGGTTTGGAATAAAGCTCCTCATTCAGTGTGACCAGCAGCTAGTCACTGAGCCAGCCTCTCTGGGCCTCCACTTCCTCATCTGTAAAGCAGAGTCAGTGATACCTGTAGCATCAACCTCACAGGGTTGTGAGACTCAGATGGACCAGGGGAGCTAATGCACATTCCACCTCCCAGTCCTCCAGAAAGGTCACTCTGCTTGTCTGTCACTCCCTGTAAGTCAAGGGAGATCAGCAAGCTTTCAATGAGCTCCTGCCATGTGCTAGGCACCCTCCTAAGCACTGGGGAAACAGAAAAGAAAAAACAACCTCTTCTCTCTTGTGTGATGGAGGAGACAACATGCAGGCAGCTGTGTGCAAATCAGAGAGATGTACGGTAAATGGCAGAGACTCAGCAGGAAGGCACGATAGGCTTGTTGGAGAAGGTGGGATTTTAGCTCTGTTCTGGAGGAAGTCAGGGGGACCCAGAGGAACAATGTGCAGAGCCAAGAGGTGGAAGATTTAGTTGGGGAAACAGCCAGGAGGCCCGTGTCACTGGATCCAAGGGTGCATAGGGAAGTGAGGTGTAAAAAGACTGCAGAGGTAGGAGGGGGCAGCTTAGGAAGGGCTTTGAATGCTGAGAAGAGCATTTTATTTTTGATCCTGGAGCTGATAGGGAGCCACAGGAAGTTACTGAGTGGAGGAGTGACAGGATCAGACCTGAGCTTTCTGAAGATCACCTTAATAGCTGAGTGGAGGATGGCCTGGAGTGAGGAGAGACTTGAGGCAGGGAGGCCAACAAAAAAAACCATTGCCACCACCAAGGAGACTTGAGTTTTAATCCCACTTTACACACTCGGTAGATGCGTGGCCCTGTGCAAGTCTCTCTTAGCCTCTGTTTCTTCATCTGTAAAATGGGGATAACAATAATAATAATGGCACCTATTTCATAGGGTTACTGTGAGAATCAAATGCAATAACATTCCATGGTTTGTAAACCTTAAAGAGCTACATGGTGCTGATAGTGGTAGCAGTAGCAATAGTTACGGTTGTAGTTTGGGTGTGAGGTGATGAGGGCCTGCACCAGGGTGGGGGTGTCAGAGGAGAAAAGAAAGTATATTCAAGAGATGCTACAGAGGCAAATGCAACAGGTTTTGGCACCAGCTTAGATATGGGGGGTGAGAGATAGCGATGAGTCCAGGATGACCCCTAGGTTGTGAGCCCGAGGGACTGGGAAGATGGCATTGCCCTCAAAAGTAATTGGGAAGGTGGGAATGAGGGGAGGGTTTGGGGAAAAGATAATGAGTTTAAAATGTCTACTGGACATTCAGTTGGAGGTGTTTGAAAGGCAGTTGGAGATGAGAGGTTGGAGATCAGCAGAGAATTTGGGGCAGGAAAGGTAGATTTGAGAATCATCAACATAGAGAAGGTAGTTCAATCCATGGGAGCTGATGAGATCAGCTAGTCTAGAGGGAAAAGAGAAGAAGGCCCAGAACAGAACCCTAAGGGACATTCATGGTTAGAGGCATGATCTGGAGGAGGAATCCAGCCAAGAAGACAGAAAGAGATGTCAGAGAGGGGAGGAGAGCCAGGAGGGAGGGGTATCTGGAAAATCTAGAAGGAAGAGAGTGTTGAGGAGGGGAGAGGAATGCACAGTGTCAAAGGCTGCAGTGAGGTCAAGGAGACTAAGGATTGAGAAAAGACCCCTGGATTTGGTAATTAAGATGTCATTAGCAACTTTGGAGAGAGTGGATGCAGTGGAATGATAAGGTCAGAAGCTGGATTGTAAAGGGTTAAAAAGAGAATACCAGGCCGCACCAGAGGGTTCCCCTTTGCTGACCCCTCTTGACACCTCTCAAAAGTCTGTCTGCCCTTTCCCAATATGAGTTCTACATCACACTTGCCTTTTTATCAACAGAAATGACCCCAAAGAATATGTATTACCCTAAAATATATTTTTATAAGATATCAACATTAATAAAGTTTTTAATTATAATAATTAATAATATAAAATTTTAATATGATATAAAAATAACCCTAACCCTAAAATGCTGGGCTGCTCCCTCCTAAGGAACTCAAGGAAGGCCTTGCTGGCTGACTTGTCCCCCCATTAGAAGGCGAGCTCCTGGACAGCAGGGACCACTTTGCCTTTCTGTTTGTATCCCCAGCAGGTAGCAGAGTGCTAGGCATATACTAATAATACATGCTTTCTCCTTCATTCACTTCAATGTCTTCTCCCAGGAGATGCTTCATGGGTGTTCTCTGCATTTTGCTTAGTTGAAGAGAAGTATGTGACTCTGTGGGTGTTGATAATGGCAGATCCAGGGCCCACTTTGGTAAAAGAGGCAATGGTGAGCCTGCAGCCCAGTGTCATGAAATCTGTCCAGGGGGTTTCACCATCAGGAGAGACAGGAGACCCTCAGAGCTGGAAAGGCAGAGTGGGTATAGGAAAAAGTCTGAAATGCCTAACTTGAAAAAAAATAACCCAGCTATGTCCTGGACTTTGCTGCTGAAAATTTTGAGACTAGGTTTTGTTCTGTTCTGCCTTTTAATCAAAGCTCTCTTATAAAAGAATTTGAATCCATATTGTCAGAAAGAACAGCTGAACCACCAAGCTAAGTGAAAATAATAAAAGGTCAGCACTAAATTGTAACCATGAACATGGAATTACTTAAGAGTTAGAAGCTGTGAGCTAACTCTCCAGGTTGGGATGGTAAGAACAGTGGGAAAAGATGAGGTCTGGTATTCCCGTAGTAAGCCATACTCAGACTTAAGCAATTCTTTCCCTTCAGTGGTTTCTCCCAATAGGAATTAGAATATATATAAGCTGGGGTTATATAAATTATTTATACATATGTATGATATGTGTGTTGTACATACACATGTACACACCTATCCATGCACACATATCTATTAGAAGCAGGAACAAGTCAAGTCACTTAACATCTCAGTGCCTGAGAGACTGTAAAAACTTCCTCATAAATGATGAGTGAGAGAGACAGGATTGATAAGAAACCAGAAATCTTTTTGGCTGCCCTTCTCAGAAAGTCATCAGGAGGCTTGTACCTTCTACCAAGCAAGTAACGGGCAGCAGGCTAGCCTCTTGTCTATCCTGGTGCAATAAAACTTGATAAACTTATCAGTTCATCCTAATACTTGGTATAATGGAAAATACTGGACTTAGGTTTAAAACTAGACCTTTTTTTTTCTTATTGAACAATCATAACTTATTTAAGTGGGCATTAAATAATAAACAGAAATGTAAGCAAATTCTAAAGAAAGATAAACTTCCCAGAAAGTGGGGTAAGAAGAAGGGAACAGAGAAATATCACTCTGGTATTCAATCTCTCAATATCAACATTAGCCTGTCTTGATTGCTAAGGAGTGAAGAATTGGTTGGTTCCTTTGATCTCTGGTTGCTGCTCAAACACTAGTTGCCCCTCAACCCTCTAGCCTGTCTCTCATTGTTTTGTTGTGTTTTATTTCAAACTTACCCCACAGGAGAAGCTCCGTACAAATCTCCATGCCCTTGCTTATTTCTTGCTTCTCAAAAGATTTCCACTCTCCTCTTCTTTCAGGACAAAGGAAAAGCAAATTATCTTCTCTTAGAACACTCCCAGCCCCATGGTTCGAAGGGGTCAGGTAGGAGATATATCAGATAGATACCCAAAGACATTGATTTCAGTGACCTTAACCTCATCCTTACTTCTTTCCTCTATATGCTTGAGTTCTCTATGCTTAGAATGGACTTCTCAGCACCCCTCTTTCCCCAACCCTTAACCACTATCTTTGCTTATTGAAGCCTCTCTCTTCATTTGAGGCCCAACTCACCTCCTATAAGATGTTTTTCCTGATCCTCTCAGCCTAATTTGAATACTCTGTCCTCAAATTTCTTTTTTTTTAAATTTAAACTTCTTTCTTTATTTTCAGTTTTCAACATTTGCTTTTATAAGATTTTGAGCTCTAATTTTTCCTCCTCCCTCCACTCCTCCCTCCCCAAGACAGCATGCAATCTGATAAAGGCTATACATGTATGATCAAATTAAACATATGTCCACATTAGTCATGTTGTGAAAGGAGAATCAGAACAAAAGGGAAAAACCATGAGAAAGAAAACAACGACAACAAAAAACAACAAAAAAGAGAAAACAGTATGCTTCAATCTGCATTCAGAATCTGTAGTTCTTTCTCTGGATGTAGATAGCATTTTCCATCATGACTCTTTTGGAATTGTCTTAGATCTTGCATTGCTCAGAAGAGCTAAGTCTAACAAAGTTGGTCATCACACAATGTTGCTGTTACTGTGTACAGTGTTCTCCTGATTCTTCTCACTTCACTCAGCATCAGTTCATGCAAGTCTTTCCAGGTTTTTCTGAAATCTGCCAGTCACCATTTCTTATGGAACCATAGTATTTCATTACATTCATATACCACAGCTTGTTCAGCCATTCCCCAATTGACGGGCATCCCCTCAATTTCAAATTCTTTGCCATCACAAAAAGAGCTGCTATAAATATTTTTTGTACATATGAGTCCTTTTCCCTTTTTTATGATCTCTTTGGGATACAGAGATGAGTCCTTTTTCAAGGATGCATTAGTTTATATGGCCTCTGAAGCTCCTTCCAACACTCCTTTCCTATAATTCTTTTTATGCTTTTCTTGAGTTTTGTATTTGGAAGTCAAATTTTCTATTCAGTTTTGGTCTTTTCATCAAGAACACTTGAAAATCCTCTATCTCATTCAATGTCTATTTTTTTTTCTGCTGAAGGATTATACTCAGTTTTGCTGGGTAGGTGATTCTTGGTTGTAATCCTAGCTCCT